TGCACATTGCCCGGGCGGCGCCATGGCGGGGGGCGGCTGGCTGTGCGGCTCCGCCGGGCTCCGGGTGAGTGAGGGCCGCCTTCCCCCGGCCGCAGCCTCCCCGGGGCCAGGGGGATCTCCCCTCTGCCCCCTGTAGCTGGCGGCAGCTTCACGTCCCGCTGCTGGGGAGGCCGCCCTCCCCTCGCGTCCCAAAGGGCCCCGCGGCAAGGGCGAGCCAGGCCGGGCCGTAGAAGACCTTTGGTCTCTCGCGGACGCATGCAGCCCCTTTCCCAAGAGGCCTTGTCTCGGCACAGCCAGGGCCGGTGCCCCGTGCTGGACTCCGGGACTTGGAAGGGGCTGGAGTCCAGGCAGAACCTCTCACAAGCCGCCAGGCTGGTGCCCGTAACATCCCACAGGGTTTCGTGGGGTGTGTGTGGGTGTGTGTTGCACACAGAGTACTCCAGCACAGAGGCTCCAATCGTAGCAATCCTAGACACGCAGGGCTGGAAGGCACTCCAGAGGGCACCTAGCTCAGCCCCCTGCCAGAGGCAGGTTCGACCCTATCCAAACCATCCTGCATAATCCATGGTCCAAACTCTCTGTAAAATCGCAGTCCACCCAGATGCAACAGTGCACCGGGGCACTGCAAATGTCAGGGGCCCTGTCTCAGGCCAGTCCCTGGCATAGCAGTACCGGTTGGCAGGGAGGGGGATGCTGCCAAACGGCACCACATGCCAGTGCAGGGAGTGGTTCTAGCTAAGAGGGAAAAAATGCCCTCCTGGTAATGAAAAGCAGGATCAAACTGTCATGCTTGAAATCATGGCTACTGGGGTCAAAGAGCAAGTGCAGTCCACTTCAGTGAGACAGAATTCGCATTCAGAATACATGGTGGGCCAAATGCTTTTTGCTGGTGGGATTAAACAGGATCAGCACTTTATCCAGATCCCATGCTGAAAGGATACAAGCGTTCTTTCAGCTTTCTCATATTATCTTCCATGAGATGGTGTGTATTCCTCATAGAAATTCCCTTATAAGCGCTGAGATGAATGGGTGAATGCAAGCTATAGGGACACACATTATGGTTTCCTTGCTCAATAAAGATAAAATCATAGTAATTAGTGAGCCATCACCCACTTCCTCTTGCCAGCCAGCAAGTGCTTCTGTTTTAGCTTTGTCTTTGATCAGCACGCTGATTAGCAAGGCCCATCTCAGGACCCAATAGCCACCTAATTTATTTGAACACTAATACCACTCCTACAAGCTGCTAACAGAGAGAGAACCTCTACTTTCATGTAGCTAAAACCAGTTAATTAATATGCCTCATCATGATTCTGTACCTGTGTACACAGTGATCCCTGTGACTTTAGCACAGGTCTTGTCCGAGCCCAAGGCCACTAAGTGCAGGAGGCTGCCCGTCACAAAGTCCTGGTCCTGCTTTCTGATCCATGCCAGCACAGAATCCCATTTAAACAGCAGGCTCGGTGCAGGTGCAGCACTCCAGCTAGGCACATCACAGTGCAGGACTGAAGCCTGAGACTGCTAAGGACTTAGGAATTGACAGAGAAAGCAGATCCACTAATCATAAACAACAGACAAGATGCCTGATCCCACTCATGCCTGCCTCTGTATGTGAAGCAGCAAAATTCAACCCTCCAGTCACTGGAGCACCAGCCTGGAGCCAGCCACACCTTGCTTCTTTACCCTCTATTCCCTTCCAAAAAACAGTAACCAAAAATATCCAGACAGTTCCATTAGCTCTGCTTTTAGGAAAAGCTACTGTAGTTGGGATCCTAAATCCATTTTTGGGTTGGGGGGCTAAAGCCAGAATCTAAATTTTGGTCATCTTATTCCACGTAATGTCCTCTTTCCCACCTCCTGGCCTCAGATCGGCACAAGCATCTGGGTCCACACAAGAAAGCACCAAAGCGTTGCCCAGTAAAGTATGCAAACAGCACTGCAGTTACTTAGTTAATACATGCATCAGACACTGTTCTCAGACACATCCCCACATGCTTAGCAGTGGGTTTCTCCCGTAGATTGCCCAGGAAGGAAAAAAATTCTGTTATTTAATCTGCATGCTTATTTGAGTTTTCTGTTGCAGATGTAGAAAAAACAATTGTATTGTCATCTCATATGCTAATGCATTACATCCAATGGTCTGATTGTGGGTTTTTATAAAATGTAGTCCAGGAGATGATAAAGGTGGTTGGGGAAAAGATAACAGCAGTGTTGCCCATATTCTGAATATTACTGGCCCTTCTGATATTTCCTCTCACTATCTTTCCTGTCTCCCTTACCCACAATCTTTAAATAATCTTTGACCCTAGTCTCTCTTTTCCCTCCTTCATCTAGTTTCTTAATACATCTTGTTGCTTCCTCTTTACCTTTGCCAAAACTGTCCTTCTACTTTTTAAATATCTTGCCTCACTTTTCCTTTATAGTCTCTTTTCTCACCTCTTTCATTTCTAATTTTTCTCTCCCCCACCTCCTTAGCCATGCCATATTTCACCTCCATTGCCAGAATCCCCTTTACATTTTAGATGCTTACGGTCAGGTACTCACATGGTATAAATATGTATAGCTCTCAATGGAGCCGACTTACAACAACTGATGGTATGGCCCATTGCCTCTACGTTTGTCTGTAGACCAGAGCCAAGCCTGTATGCATTTGCTGTGCTAATCTATTCCTTCTTTGTGTTGTGGTAGGACTGGAACCAGACATGGTTTATAGATCTCCTGCACTTTCCCCAGTGCTTTCAGGATACGGTCCTTGCCTGGATCCCCTGTGCCTTTCTTTGGGTCGTTTTTCCATTCTATTACCTATATCTGAAGCACCACAACAAAGGATACATCAGGATGTCACACCTCTTCAGAGCTAAAATGGTAATGACAGGAGTGGAGGAGTGATGCTAATTTTATTGCAACTGTAATAAAGACTTTGATTCTTCCAAATAGTTAGAACTTTCTTGATCATCTCCTGTGACTGTCCGCATCCTTCTCTTGCCTGCTGTTTACTAGCTTATGACTATGCAAGTTACATCTCTTTTTCTTCTGGCAGATCTTCCACCGAAGTGCTAGGTCCAGAGAAATGTGGGTAGCTTTTACTCACTAATTTATCAGCAAAACTCATATCAGCATCCAGGAGCAAGTAAGGATTTCAGGTCTGGGCCTGAAAGGCATAACAGTCCTTTTGACACTCTCCATCAGACCTAACCCTGAATCCCAGACTGTTTCCAATTACACCTTGAATCCTAAATCTGTCTATAATCCTCAGATATCTTACAGTACATGGTGTAATTAGAAGGCAGGATAGAGATGCACTTTACAGACTAACTAAATCAGAGATGTATCTGTAAGGTGGCTCCACCCAGCCTTCTGCCTGACATCAGACTAAAACAGCCAACTACCTCTCTCTGCTCATGCTGTTATTAAATATGCCCGATCACTCCATTCTTTTTCACTCTAATATGTTTGCTTCCCCTGCCTAGGTGCTTGGATTCATATTGATGTTACTGTGTTTTTCTAATCTATTCTTCACCCTATGGGAAATAAACCAAGGAACACTGAGGGCTCCAGCCTTCTTCATTAGTCCAGCAGTGCTGGGGATCACAATGGTAATTTCTACTTGTTGCTTACATTTAATTATTTTGGTTAAATCTCACCTCAGCCCAATGCTCCTTTTAATATCTGTGGGTGCAAAAGACCCACTAGACAGCAAGGCTGGTGTGGTTTTATAGGGAAGGGTGATACAAGCAAAATGCTGTGCTCTAGGACAGTGGTCCTCAACCTTTTTTGTAGTAGGACCTATTTGTAAACACTGGTGGCCAGTCCTGACCCAGTAAATAGTTTAAGTAGAAAACAACCCCCTGGACCTGCCAGTTCCCCTCACTCCCAACCTACAGCCCCCAACCCCTGCTGGTGCCCCTCACTCCCTACCAACTGTCCCCACCCTCTGGCTTCAGCCTCCTGGTGTGGGGACCAGGTGTGGGTATGTGAGTGGGAGGGCCATGTGGGGCATGTGCTGCCCCAGATTTGGGCACCCACAGTGGGCACAGGGCTGCAGCCTGGCTGGATCAGCATGCACAGGAGCTGCCTCTGTGGTCCAGTGGGCAGGACTCAGCATGGGAGGATGGAGCGGGTGGCAAGACCCACTGATGCTGCTGCCGCTGGAACACCCACACCACCAGCAGCATGTGGAGTAATGGATGGGGATGGACTGCACTGACCTCACCTCC